CGGACTTCTTCGCGAGAGGAAACACCGTGGTGTACCTGGAGTAGTCGTCAACGACCACTAGAAAGTAGCGCTCCCTCTCAGGTCCCAGCGTAGGGGCAGGGCCCCAGACGTCCAGGTGGAGAGTCTGGAAAGGAGCAGTGGCCGGACGAAGGGAGGAGGAGTGCGGAGTGGCGCGCAGGCGGCCGGCGACGCAAGGAGTGCAGGGTGGGGCAAGCGAGGGAGGGAGCGACAAAAAGACGCGCGGGAGACCTGAGACAAGACTGTGACTGGCCATGCTGCGGAGGCGGGGGAGCGACAGGTGGCCAAGACGGTGGTGCCACAAGACGGTCGGGTGGGCTAGGGACCGACAGGAGCAAGACGCAGCAACCTGACCAGACACCTCTACCTGACCAGACACGGCAACCGGACTAGACACTGGGACCTGAGGGGACGCAGCGACCTGAACGGAGGAAGCAACCGGGGAGCGCTCGGTGTGGACCAGAGACCAGAGCGGGACTCCCTGGTGAACGTGGCCAGAACAGCACATGTAGCGGCGTCTCTACAGACCGCAGTCCTCCCACCCCCCACAAAGGTAACAGTGATCCCCCTGTCCTGGAGGTATCCAACACCCACCAAGTTCCGAGTGAACGAGGGGATGTGGAGGCCGCGCAGGACACCAGAGGGGACCACAGGGCACGGGAGGGTGGTGGAGCTGCGCGCAACGGCTGGTCCTGAAGAGGGATCAGCCAGAGCTACCGGAACCGGAGCAAGGAGTGGTGTGAGGGTCGTGTGGTACCATGTCAGAATCCCAATCACTAGACCATTGGGATAAAAGGGCTTGTTAAGTAGTGGGTCAGTGCGCCCATAACCCTCCAGGCCCAGCGAGCATGTAACCTTTCCCTAGGATCAATCGGGCATCCCAAGTGTTGGTTTTCAGACACCCCCCCGCACAAGGATGCCCTAGGACACGGCACAGCGGCAGCGCCAACATGTGCACACATGGGGATTCGAACCCGAGACCTTTGCTCTGATACCATCTCAAAGTAGGAACACGACGGAATGATGAACTAGAAACAGGATGGGGTACAAATATGCAAACCTAAAAGTTGTACCCCCTAGAAGGCACCTCACTACAGCCTATACCACATATTATATATTTGACAGTCATATGGTATAATTACATATCATTATTATAGAATTTTATGAGACATCTTAATTTTAACTATTACAAGCCTAATTTGTTTTCCAAACACTGGTACGGTACGTACCAAAGTTGTTTCTGGATAATAACAAGCTTATGGATATGATTTCCATATCTAGTCAGTGGAAGGCAGGTCCTTCCAATGAAGTACGTGCTTGTTTGTCAACCGAAACGCCTTCTAATGAGTATTCTTGATTCTGAATTTGGAAGGGCCAGTTGCATTCGCAATGCAAGGCATTGCGGCGCTCGTGCATGTGCCGTGCTGACGGCGTTCGACTGCTCCCTCACCTTCCGAGGAACGTCAGTCTCCTCCTAGCGCGCTCCCAGTGCGCGGGATACATAATTCACAAGTTTCGCAGGTATGGTTCGGGATCCCATTCGCCAATTTCTACTTTGCACCACCATTTCCTGGGTTTGTGCCATCTTTGTTGACCCACTTAGGACTTGCGTGCTGACGGTATACAAGCAAACGCGAAGGGCAAGTCGCGCTTATCACTGCTATTCGCATTCCTCGCCTGCTTTTGCACTCTTTCTTAGGCCTCAATTCTCTGGTAGCTTCAGCGTAGAAGCTCGCACCTTCAAACTTTGAGAGCCATCATGTGCTTCGACGGCTTCATCCTCCCAGTTTGCATCGAGTGTGGCACTACAGATAACCCTTGCCGCTGCAAGGTACGGTTTCCAACCTTCCGTGGATCCATTTGCACCTTTAATACCTGCCCCCGTGCTGCCTGCTGGCGTTTCATTGGTTTCATTATTTTGAATAACACTGAATCAGGTATCGCTTGGAGCGGTGCAATACACAGAACTTTGTTATCATTTCGCCCCCAATCTTCGTATGCCTGTGACAGATCGTCGGGCCCACGCTAGCTTTCATCTTCATGGTAGCTGCAGCGGTTGTTGAATGGCCCGTGGGAGCTGCTGTTTGGGTGTGCAGTCGCAAGTCAGGGCGGAAGATTATGGGGCAACCAGTGATGTCTGTGTACCCGAGTGTGAATAGAGCCATACCGTTCTGATGAACCATTTTGCATCCCAGAATCGATGAGGTCAGTTCTTGTTTCCATTGAAGAAATAATGAAGTTGTAGAATGACCACGATTTGTCTGGTGAAGATTCGCCAATTCTCAACCTATGCATGTTTCCCGTGCCAATGTGTTTATGTTTTGTTGAAGTTGATTGCTACTTTAACGGGGTGTCTAACGTGTACGTGCACTGTTTATTAGATTTTCATAGCTCAACACAAATCAGAGGGCCATCTGACTGGGGCACCCGCAAATCTGTTCGGGGTCGAGGGTTGCGACTGTTCACGCGAGCCGAACTTTAGGGACCTGCACGAGAACGTTAGGACGTGTTGCAATCTGCGGTGCACTGCATCGGCTCGGCTCGGGGCACTTATTTAAAGCCCAAGACCTGAATTACTCAACGGAAGTCAACGGGAAAAAATAGGTTCGGAAGTCAAGCAGACGGAGGTTCGGTTGGGGTGCGAAGCACTTTCACTCGCGAAACCAATTTGCGACAAAAGAAGTCTCGCATACAAGAATATGAGCGATGGGTGGGGTCGTTCCCACAACAACCAGAAAAGGGCATCCATCCCAAACTGTGCACACTCTGAGATAGCACGCAGATAACTAGGCATAGAGCATACCTGTAGAGATAGCAGGGAATCAGAGGCGCCTTACGAATGGGTGTGGCGCGAATTTCGATGACGACGCGCAAAGATAGTGTTCGCTGGTGTCGAAATGCAGGTTCAGTGCAACTGATGCGTAAACTCGCGGCGAATAATAGCGTGACCCTTCGCCCAAGCGTGAACCTCTCCTCGCCGTCGCTTTCCGTTCCCAAGGTCCCACGAGGGCGATCTCATTCGCCATCGCTTTCCCAGCTCGTCGCCTTCAAGACCTCATTCCGATGCCTTCGCGACCCCAGCCCGTCGCCTTCGCTCCGCCCGTCGCCCTCGCTTTCCACGCCTGTCGCCTTCACTTCCCCTCCCCCGTCGCCTTCACTTCCCCTCCCCCGTCGCCTTCACTTCCCCTCCCCCGTCGCCTTCACTTCAACTCCCCCGTCGCCTTTACTTCCCCTCCCCCGTCGCATTTCCCGCCCGTCGCCTTCGCTACTCCCGCCCGGCGCCTTCCCTTCCCCTGCCCCTCGCTCTCGCTTCCCCCGCCTGTCGCACTCGCTTCCCCCGCCCGTCGCACTCGCTTCCCCCGCCCGTCGCTCTCGCTTCCCCCGCTCGTCGCACTCCCCGCCAGTCGCACTCGCTTCTCCGCCAGTCGCACTCGCTTCCCGCCCGTCACACTCGCTTCCCCCGCTCGTCGCACTCCCCGCCCGTCGCACTCGCTTCCCCCGCCCGTCGCTCTCGCTTCCCCCGCTCGTCGCACTCGCTTCCCCGCCAGTCGCACTCGCTTCCCGCCCGTTGGGCTCACTACCCCTCCCATTGCCGTTCACTCTCTCCTGCTCACGCTCTGCCCTCCGCTCACTCTCTCCCCCTCCCTTCACTCTCTTCTCTCACGTACACTCCCTTTCCCCCTATTCTCACTCCTCTCTTTCCCCCTCGCCTCACTCTCTACCCCCCTGCTCAATCCCTTCCCCCCTCGATCTCTTTCCCCTACTCTCTCTCTACCCCCCTGCTCAATCTCTCCCCCCCTCAATCTCTTTCCGCTGCTCACTCTCTCACTCTCTCCCCCCCTGCTCACTCCCTCCCCCCCCGCTCACTCTCTCCCCCCCTGCTCACTCTCTCCCCCCCTGCTCACTCTCTCCCCCCCTGCTCACTTTCTCCCCCTCTGCTCACTCTCTCCCCACCTGCTCACTCTCTCCCCCCCTGCTCACTCTCTCCCCCTCTGCTCACTCTCCCCCCGTGCTCACTCTCTCCCCCCCTGCTCATTCTCTCCCCCTCTGCTCACTCTCCCCCCGTGCTCACTCTCTCCCCCCTGCTCACTCTCTTCCCCCCTGCTCACTCTCTCCCCCTCTGCTTACTCTCCCCCCGTGCTCACTCTCTCTCCCCCCTGCTCACTCTCTCCCCCTCTGCTCACTCTGCGCCCCTGCTCACTCTCTTCCCCCCCGCTCACTCCCTCCCCCCCCGCTCACTCTCTCCCCCCCTGCTCACTCTCTCCCCCTCTGCTCACTCTGCGCCCCTGCTCACTCTCTTCCCCCCTGCCCACTCCCTTCCCCCCTGCTCACTCTCTTCCCCCCTGCTCACTCCCCCTCTGCTCACTCTCTTTCCCCCTGGACTCACCCGCCTTTCCTCCCTGTTTACTCTCAATTCCCCTTCGTTCAACCATTTTTCCCCACACTACTCTTATTTCCCCTGTTCAGACCCCTCGGTTTCCCTGCTTACTGGCTTTCCCCCCTGCTCGACCCCTTCTCCCCCCTGCTCACTCTCTTTCCCCTTTTGCTCACCCCTCTGCCCCGTCCACATCCAACCCTCGCTTATCTGCCATACCCCCTCTTCCCTTCCCGTTCTATCACAGAACCATGAACAGGTGCCCAGCACCATGAGTCCCAACAGGAATGTGATGATTGTGTTCCTATAGTCCATTGTTGACAACTTTTATACGGTATAAACACTATTATGCTTTGTTCAACTTCTTTGTAGTGGCCGTGTGCATGGCTGCTCTGAAGCAGAGAATGTTTTATTAATAGAAGCATAAGCATCAATACATGGCATGGCTACCTATTTGTCATACCACTATCATCAAACAACAAACACTTCACAACTGGATGCATGGCAGACCTGCACAAACACGAACCACAAAATTTTGTGTGTCATATGTTGAAGCAGCTGGGAAGGATACCGTACAAAACAATAACAATCGAAATATACAAACAGGCTAGGAGTGTACAGGCTTGGAAGGGAAAGGGTGGATGGGAGGATGTGAGAAATTCAAGGAGGGAGTAAGCAAGTGGGTCAGACAGAAAGGCGGAGGATAGGAAGATCGGAAGGTGGCAGCTTGAAAAAAAGGGCGGTAGGGTGGAGAGGCAGGAGGATGAAAGAAAGAGTGGGTGGGAGCGTGGTAGGGAGGAGGGAGGCTTGGAGGAAGGGCGGATGGGAGAAAGTGAGGGGGGTAAAAGTGTGGCAGGGTATAAGGGTGGAACGGGGGGAAGGGAGAATCAGAGAGAAGGAAAGAAGGGTAGAAGGGTGGGGGGGAGCGTGGGTGACGGTGGGAGGGGGTGTAGGGAGAGTGGGGGGCAGCGAGGGCGACGGAGGGAGCAAGCGTGGGCGATGAGAAACGTGGGGGAAGGTGGGGGAAAGCGTGAGCGACGGTGGGAGCGTACGCGACATTATGGGGAAGCTTGGGCGACAGTGGGGGGAAGCGTGGGCGACGGTGGGAGGATGAAGGCCGAATGAGAGAAAGGGGGATGAGAGGATAGGGGGATGAGAGGAAAGGAGGATGAGAGGAAAGGAGGATGAGATGATGGGCGGATGAGAGGATGGGCGGATGAGAGGATGGGTGGATGAGATGATGGGTGGATGAGATGATGGGCGGATGAGATGATGGGCGGATGAGATGATGGGCGGATGAGATGATGGGTGGATGAGATGATGGGCGGATGAGATGATGGGCGGATGAGATGATGGGCGGATGAGATGATGGGCGGATGAGATGATGGGCGGATGAGATGATGGGCGGATGAGATGATGGGCGGATGAGATGATGGGCGGATGAGATGATGGGCGGATGAGATGATGGGTTTAGGGAGATGATGGGTGGGCGGGAGGAAGGGAGGGAGAACGGGCAACAGAAAGGGGAAAGAGGGTAGTGAGGCAGAGAGTGTGGGATAGATGGAGGAAGGGAGGAAGAAAGAGGGAGAGGAGGACGACTGTGGGGGGCCAACGGAACGGAGTAAGGGAGAAGGGCAGGAAGTAAGAGTGTGGCAGGGTATAAGGGGGATAGGAGGATCCCTGCACCCTCTCTCCCTAACCCCCGCCTCCCCCGCTCCGCATCCCCTAACCCGCCCCTGCAGCACTGCACTCCTTGCTGCCCGCCTGCACGCGCTGCCCTGGGTGTGCGCCCAACACTCTGCTCCACAGCCGCACCACCACCTGCCATGGGCGACGGTGGGGGGAAGCGTGGGTGACGGTGCGGGGAAGCGTGGGCGACGGTGGGGGGAAGCGTGGGCGACGGTGGGAGGAAGCGTGGGCGACGGTGGGAGGAAGCGTGGGCGACGGTGGGGGAAAGCGTGGGCGACGGTGAGAGGAAGCGTGGGCGACGGTGGGGGAAAGCGTGGGCGACGGTGGGAGGAAGCGTGGGCGACGGTGGGAGGCAGCGTGGGCGACGGTGGGGGGAAGCGTGGGCGACGGTGGGAGGAAGCGTGGGCGACGGTGGGAGGAAGCGTGGGCGACGGTGGGAGGAAGCGTGTGCGACGGTGGGAGGAAGCGTGGGCGACGGTGGGAGGAAGCGTGGGCGATGTGCGGGGAAGCGTGAGGGAAGGTGGGGGAAGGTGGGGGAGGGCGCGAGCGACGGTGTGGGGAAGCGTGGGGGAAGGCAGGAGGGAGCGTGAGCAGCGGTAAGGGGAAGCGTGAGCGACGGTGGCGGAAAGCTAGGGCGACGGTGGCGGAAAGCTAGGGCGACGGTGGCGGAAAGCTAGGGCGACGGTGGGGGAAACTGTGAGAGGTGGGGGAAAGCGTTGGCGACATCGCGGTTTTGACAAGGACGGAAAGTCACAGAAATGTGATTTTTTTGTGATGAATACGTGACTATTTTCCGGGGGTTGTGTGAGAGACGGTGGGGAGAAGCGTGGGGGACGCAACGGTGCAAGCACAACCTGAATTACGAAAGAAGGCAAACTGTGCACACTTTGAGCGGTTGTTCCTTCAGGAGGGAGCAGTTGGGACTCTCGCCAACCATACTTGTTCTCCCCTACGACTCTGTGTTTTTTGGCGCGATGTTTTCTGGTAACCAGCCTGGCTCGGGAAGTCAACTGTGGGTTCGGAAGGCAAACTGTGCACAGTTTGCCTTCCTCTTTTTGTAATTCAGGTCTTGGGCTTTAAGAAGGCTCCAGAAAAGCAGGAGGCCCTAATAAAAAACAAAGCGTAAAAACATTCTATGTCCTAATAAAACCTTAGCAAATAACTCTTTTGAATCACTATCTTGAAACATTTCTGTCCCCAATCAGTGCCCATGTTTGGCCTCTCGCCTGCCTGGAGCCTTCCAAACGTCCCGAGCCGATGCAGTGCGCCGGCAATTGCAACACGTCCTGAGTAATCACTATCCATATTGCCGTTTGCGAATGGTAACCCGTCACGCCGCGTAGATCGACTCCAATCTATTATCCACGCCCGAAACACGCAAAAGGAATAGGACACACAACCTTCCCGCCCCACCTCGCTTCCTCCAAATTTCCGCCAAGCAGTCTCCCCAGACACCAATCACGCTACTGCTGCCACCTGTGCGCCCTCGGCTGCCTGCGCCGTCACTGCCTCTCGCGAGCCACGCAGATTCGCGTGATTCGAGGAGGATTCGGCAACCACTCCTATCCCAATCTTCATAAATTGGCCAGCGAATCCCACGCTTTCGTTCGGATTTTCCTTCCACTCTCGATTTTTTAAAGCGCTAATCCTTTCAGTGTGACCGACGTTTTCATCCAAGCGCCCTGCTTTAATCGAATCACCATGGCTCTCGAGCTTCCGTCAGTCGCGGCGATCGCGACCGCCTCTCGTCCCGCGCCGCCCGTCGCACCTCCTCCGAACCTATTCGCCGTGACGGGCTTTAAACCGTTCATGGGAGTGGCTCATAACCCCACAGAGGCAATCGTGCGCGCGCTGCCCGCGTATTTGGCCGAGCGGAAAGCGCTCCCGGAGGGGTGGGCGCTGGGGTGCTGCTGCGTGCTGGAGACCGCGGGGAAGGGGTGCCTTCCGCAGCTGCTGCGCATCCTCGACAATCCCGAGGGGCTTCCGCCGCTTCCGCCGCTTTTGTCCCCCGCGCCCGAGGGGGAAGGCGCGGAGGAGTCAGGAGGACGGGGGGCAGAAGGGGGAGGAATATGGGGGAGGCTTGTGGGGAAAGGCGCAAGGCGGATGGCGTTGGGGGAATCGGCGCAGACGGGGGGCGCGGAGGGGGGAGTGGGTGCATGCGCGGAAGGGGGAAAAGGCGCAGGAAGGGCAGGGGAGGGGGGGGCAGCAAAGAGAGCAGAGGGCGCTGTTGGATCCGCGCATCCAGTGGGAGAGGCGGAGGGGGCGGGTGCGGGGGGGAGTGAGTCAAGACCGTCGGGGGGAGGAGGCATGGGCGGAACAGCGGACGTGAATGGCGGGAGACGAGTGATATGGGTGAGTGGGTTGTGGTTGAGGGGCGTGTGGGTTAGAGTGGGAGAACGATCACCTGGGGGAGGGGATGGGAGGGAATGGGAGGGGATGGGAGGGGAGAAGTGGTTCAGGGACAAGAAGGGGGGCTGATTCAATTCCAGTTACTTTAGTTTGTTGCCGTTGCTCTGGTTGTTCCGCCGTGCTCCGGCGGTGCTTTGACAGTGGATCGGAGGTGGTTCGGCGGTGGTTCAGTGATTTTCGCCACTCTCCCTCTCAACCCCCCACCTACCCACCACCCCCATCACAACTCTGTCGCCTACTCTTCGTGCTCACTTCCCCCCGTGTATGATCTGCTGTGTGTGTGTGCTATATGTGCACGCTCTGTGTGTGTGCTTCTTGCGTGCTGTGTGTGTGCTTCTTGCGTGCTGTGTGTGTGTGTGTGTGTGTGTGTGTGTGTGTGCTTCTTGCGTGCTCTGCGTGTGTGTGTGTCCGCGCGCGCGTGCTGCATGTGTCTGCTGTGTGTGGGAGCAGGTGCATCTGGGGGTGAACAGCGGGGCATCGTTGATAGCAGTGGAGCGCCAGGCAGCCAACGAGGCCACCTTCAGATGCCCCGATGAGATGGGCTGGCAGCCGCAGGTAGGTTCTTTTGCCTCAGGTGGGTTTGTTTGCCTCAGGTGGGTTTGTTTGCCTCAGGTGGGTTTGTTTGCCTCAGGTGGGTTTGTTTGCCTCAGGTGGGTTTGTTTGCCTCAGGTGGGCACGTGAAAGGAAGCTCGTTTTGATACGTGTTTGTAACAACCTATTTTGCTGATAAGATGGGCCAGCAAACACATATGTCCCTTAAGGAAGGTGTGTTTGCAGACGTCTCCAAACAAGCTTGTTACCCCAAGCAATTGGGCTGGCAGCCTCAGGTGGGCCCTTATCTTGCTTCCCTGACCCTTGACCCTTGAGCAGAGGGATTGGTGGTAGCTGGTGCTTTGCTTCTGAGATGACTCTTTACTTTTGCATTGACTGGTTTTTAGTTGGTTTTTGCGTTGCTGTTTGTGGAGTTTGGTGTACGTTCATGATTTCTTGCCTCTGTCCCTTGTCACGTGTACAGAAGGAGGCAATTGCACCAGAAGATGGGCCAATCACAGTCATCAGGCAGGTGGGTTGCGGTGGCATGGGATCTCATGCAATGCAATGCGGTGTGGTGCGATGCCATGTCACATAATGCAAAGTCATGCGGTGTTTTGTGACAATGTTTTATTTCCCATTCTCGCTCTTGTCTCCCTTCCCATCATTCTCCACCGTGTGCCTTTGCCCCTGCCCTGCCCTTTCCCTTGTCCTGCTCGTGCCCTGCTCGTGCCCTGCCCATACCCGGTTCATACTCTGCCCCTGTCCACAGTCCACCCTGCCTGTCCTGAACCTAGTGAGCACTCTCCAGCAGCGTGGCTTCACTGTGCTTCCCTCCCGTGACGCTGGTCGCTCTGTCTGCAACTACATGGTGACCTTTGAGTCGACTCTAAAGTCCCCTTGCCCCTGCCCTGCCCATGCCCCTGCCCCACCCCCTGTTCCTTCCCTTTTGTATCCCGGCTTCTGCCTTTGCTCTGCGCCCCTTGCCCCATGCACCTGCTCACAGTCCACCTTACCTTTTCTGAACCTAGTGAGCACCCTCCAGCAGCGTGGCTTCTCTGTGTGCTCCTCTCGTGACGCTGGCCGCTTTGTCTGCAACTACGTGTACTACGAGTCGCTACGCCATGCTGCCCTGCTCTCCTCCTCTCCCTCCTCCTCCTCCTCCTCCTCTTCAGCCTCCTCCTTCGCTTCTTTCTCTGAGTCCCTGCCACATGCTCTGACTGCCACCACCACACCTACCAGTACTAGTGCTAACAGTGTCTCTAGCGAAACAGGAACTGAAGTTACACCACGACGAGCAGCAGCAGCAGTAGTAGCAGCAGCAGCAGCAGCAGGATCAGAATCGAAGCACCATCCACTCACCAACTCCAAACCTGCACTGCAGGCCCTGCAACAACACCCACAGCACGCTCCACACATGCCACACGTGCCACCGCAAGAGCCACAAGTGCCGCAGGTGCAGAGTGTGTTTGTGCACGTGCCCACATTCGACACCATTGCAATGGACGCCCAGTTGCGCTTCGTAGCAGCCCTCCTGGAGCTCCTCGCAGCCTCATAAACCATGCTGGATCTGTTGCGGCGCCACATTAAGTCTAGGGTTTAGGCTGTTGCGGAGCCTCATAAGTCATGCTGGAGCCACTCCCTTACTACCTCACGCCCCTGCTGCCCCTCCCTCTGCTGCTGCTGCTGCTGCTCGTAGAAACCAAGGGATTGCTGATTCTAGCGGGAAAATAGAATCTGGGGGGAATGGGATACCGTAAGCTAGGATGGGCTGGCTGTAGGGGATTGGGGTGTTTCGCTCAGGGAGGCACATAGCGTGGTACCCAGGAATAAAGAGCGCACGAGGTGTGTGTGACGTTTGGTTTGAGCTACTTCCATGCGTTGCGTAGGAATGAGTCGTCTCACGCTCCTGCTCATCTGCGTGAGCGTTTGCTCTTAGAGTCGATACACGCGCATGCCCATGGCCTTGCTCTTGCAATGGGTACCCCGCACCGCACCGCCCCTACTGGTACCATTTGTAGAAGGGCCGAGTGAGCCCAACATATCGCGCCACATCACATCATGTCACAACACATCACATCACTTATCTGTCTTTAGGTGGACCACAGGATCCTGGTGACTTTCTGAGTTGGGGGGCTGTGAAGTGAAGTCACCTCGTGCGCACACCCGCATGCTTGCATTGATGTTAGATATTTGTCCTGTATGGTAACCCGCATCACTTGTATAGGGAATTGCTGACGGTATGTAAAAGGATAGGCTTTCTCCAGTGTTGTTTCGCCACATGCAACATGTACCAATATACGATAACAGAGCTAGTGCCACTCCTTGCACTCTTTCCACATGATGGAAAGAACTAAGGTAAATGGAAATACCATGTGCTGCTGGTGCCAGTAGTGGAAACTTTTGCTGCACAAAACATTCACTTCCGTACTCGTCAGCACACAAGGCCTGCCGAATGAATTTTGAGATAATGATGGGCCAGAAAACATCTGTACACCTCAAAAACCTATTCCATATCCACCTATCCAGCTCTCGATTCATCCTCTTTACTGTGTGATCTGGTAACCGCAACCCGGGCCCCTGCTCTGCGAGCGGCGGCTGCCAGAGCAGCATCAACCGCCGCTGCTGCTGCAGCCATGGGGTTCACCCCCCCAAAGAACCCCGGAAAAATGCCTGGTACTGCTTGTGTTGCTTGTGCTGCTTGTGCTGGCTCTGATGCTTCTGTTGGTGCGGTTCCTATTCCTGTTGCCACTGGGGTTGCCACTGGTGCTGCCACTTGTGCTGCTCCTGGCGATTCTCCTGCTGCAGATGCTGTGAAGTAATCGCCTGCTGCTGCTGATGGTGTTGATGCGGGGATTGCAACTGCTACATCTGCCGCTCCTCCTTCTTCTCTTCCTAATCCGCATGCTTCCCCTCCCCCCATTGCTCCACTTGCTCCCTCTGCTCGCCCTAACACTCCTGCTCCTTCTGCCCTCCCTGCTTCCCCTGCCCCCCCTGCTCCCCCTTCTCTCCCTGCTCCCCCTGCTCCCTCTCTGCCTCGTTCCTCAAAGTACGCGTCTACCCTGCCTGTAGGCCCCGCAGCCACAGCAGGAATTTCTCGTCTCCCTGCAAATACCGTCCACGCTTCTCCTGCTCCTGAATGCACCGCTGTTGCTTCTGCTGTGGCTGCTGCTGCTGATGCTGCCCTCTCTCCCACACTGTCGTCACCCCCACGTTTTTCCAGCTCCTGCTGCTCCTGTGTGTGTTGCTGTGTGTGCTGCTGTGTGTGCTGCTGTGCGTGCTGCTGTGCGTGCTGCTGTGCGTGCTGCTGTGTGTGCTGCTGTGTGTGCTGCTGTGCGTGCTGCTGTGTGTGCTGCTGTGTGTGCTGCTGTGCGTGCTGCTGTGCGTGCTGCTGTGTGTGCTGCTGTGTGTGCTGCTGTGTGTGCTGCTGTGTGTGCTGCTGTGCGTGCTGCTGCGTATGCTGCTGCAGCAAGATATCACCAGGAGAAACGCCATGCAGACCATGTGATGTAACATGACTTACTCTTGACTGCCCTCCTACTACTCCTGCAGGCACAGCTGCTGCTCGAACTGTTGCTTCTACTGACAGCGCTGCTGCAGTTCCTGTTGTTGTTCCTCCTCCTCTGCCTCCTCCTCCTCCTGCCGCTCCTTCTTCCAGACACTCATCCCCCCCATCACACACTTCTTCCATGGACATATATTCAAGAGCAGGAGTAAGACCCAGAGGCCCAACAGCAGCGTGTGGTGGCAACAGATGCGAATCAGCTGCTACAATCCCCTCAGGTTGTGTGCAACCACCACCACCACCATGAACCCACGCCTGAGCACCACAATCAACCGGTCTGGAACCTGCTGCAACCGAAGGCAAAGCCTGTATTCCATCGGCTGAGCTTGATCTCCAAGCTCCACTAGGATAAAAAGAAGCCGACGATTCTTGAGTGGAAATTCTTTGAAGCGGCGCCGCAAGAGGCTCTGAATGCCCAGGGATGGCTGACAGTGGAGCAGAAACGGAAGGGTCTGGATCCGTTGTAGCAGTAGAGTCAGCAGGAGCAGCAGCAGCACCTGTGGCCTCCTCCTCCTCATCTCCTATTGCCATTATGGCGCCATTAGTCCTGTCATCTGCTCCCATCCTTGCAGCACACATTGGTGCAGGCATGGGATCGTGTCTGTAAGAACCCTCAGGAGCACACAAAACGGTAGGTGGAGCTGCTGTTGATGCCGCTGGTGTTGCTGCCGCTGGTGTTGCTGTTGCTGTTGGTGTTGGTACGGATGGTGGGCTAAAAAACCCCAAATCATGCACTGCTGTGTGCCATGATTCGTGTGTGCCGCACTCGCCCGCTATTGCTTCTATCGAGCTAGGAAGAGGCGCTGCTGCTCCTGCTACCGCTGCTGCTGCATTTTCATGTCCTTGCATTGCCGGACCTGCTGCATCTCCCCTTCCTTGCACTGCTGCTGCAGATGCTCCTGCTTGCTCAACATCTGCAAGCAGAACCAGTGGTAAGGCTGAATTATCTCTAGCCTCTGCTGCTCTTGCTGCTGCCACTGGCAATGAATGCACAAGGCTAGCAGTTGACAGTAATTGTGCTACCCCTGGATACGCTGCCCCTGGTTGTGCTACCCCTGCCCCAGGTTGCATCAATGATGGTTCTAAGACTGTTAGTGGTCCTGCTAATGCTGCTTGTGCTGCTTGTTCTGCTGCTGCTGCTGCTTGTTCTTCTGCTGTTGCGTGTGCTGCTGCTCCTCCTCCTCCTCCTCCTGCTGCTGCTGCTGCTTGTCCTGGAGCCACATCAACTGCTTGTGCAGAGCCATCCAGTGGTGCTGCTGGGGCTAGCCCTGCAGTCTCAGCCAACAAAAGCACACCAGGAGATGCACCACCAGCCGGTCTTGCCACTGCTGGCGGTGGTGGTGCTGCTGGTGCTGCTGGTGGTGGTGGTGCTGCTGCTGGTGCTGCTGGTGCTGCTGCTGGTGGTGCTGCTGGTGCTGCTGGTGGTGGTGCTGGTGCTGGTGCTGCTGGTGGTGGTGCAGCTGCTGCCACATCAGCTTGTGATGTCTGCAGTAAAACGGACCAATCCTCTCGGTCACTGCCACTACCACTGCCGCTGATATCGATTCTGAAGCTGTCTTTCCCACTGGCGTTGCCATCGCCACTGCCAGCAAATACAGCTCCTGCTGCAGCAGCGGCAGCAGAGGGCAAGATCGATGTGAAGAGATGGTTGCTGAGAAAAGTCTGCTGCTGCTGCTGCTGCTGCTGAGAGTAGAAGGAACCATTATTAACTTTTGCGGCTGCAAGTGAGGAGGCTAGATTACTGGTAGTGGTGGTTGTGGTGTTGGTCGTGGTGGGATAAACAGACAATGAAGAGAGTGAAAGAGTTGCGGGATCAGCTCCAGAGGAGGAAGAAGCAGGAGGGGGAGAGGAGGAGAATGACTGATTGACCCACTCCTGCTGCCACTGCTGCCACTGCTGCTGCCACTGCTCCCGCCAATCATGCTCTTCCTCTTCCTCCTCCTCCTCCTCCTCCTCCTCCTCCTCCTCCTCCTCCTCCTCCTCCTCCTCCTCCTCCTCCTCCTCCTCCTCCTCCTCCTCCTCTTCCTCTTCCCCCGCCCCCTCTCCCCTCCCTTCCTCGTCCTCCTCGTCATCCTCAAAGGGGTATTTGCGCGCGTGCTGCTGCGACTGGTGGTTGATTCTATAGTCGGGTGTGCCGAATGACTCGATGTCAATGCTGAGAGGTGGGGAGGGGCAAGACGGGCGGGAGGGAGGGAGTTGAGGTGGGGAAGAAACGTTGAGGATGTTAGAATTATATCTTATAGCATGCTATTACTTGTGACTGTACACCAAGTGTGGTGTACAGTTGGGTTGGGACTACACCCAACATTGGGTATAGCCTTGCATGTTGGGGTGCCAATCCAACCCAGTTGTGGTGGAGCCCCCAAATGCAACCCAATGGGCCATAGGTTACCTCACTTCCCAAAATGAGGCCAGCCCAATCCATTGGGCCATAGGTTGCCCCACTTCCCAAAGTAAGGCCAACCCAACCCATTGGGCCATAGGTTGCCCCACTTCCCAAAGTAAGTCCAACCCAACCCATTGGGCCATAGGTTGCCCCACTTCCCAAAGTAAGTCCAACCCAACCCATTGGGTCATAGGTTGCCCCACTTCCCAAAGTAAGTCCAACCCAACCCATTGGGTCATAGGTTGCCCCACTTCCCCAAGTGTGGTCAACCCAACCCAATGGGCCATAGGTTGGCCCACTCTTCCAAGTTCCCACCCCCTCCCTTTCCCTTCTAAGCTTCTCTTCCATCTATGTATGCTTGCTTGTTACCTAATGAAACTAATGGTTCAATTCCAACTTTCACAGAGGAGTGTTGGGCAGAGGGAGACGAGGGAGATGGGGCGTGCTGCTGCGACTGGTGGTTGATTCTACAGTTGGGTGTACAAGACGACTCGATGTCGATGCTGAGAGGTGGGGAGGGGGAAGAGGGAGGCGAGGAGGTTTTGAGTTATACTCAAATCGCGAGCGTGCTGCTGCGACTGGTGGTTGATTCGGTGGTCTGGTATGGCACCCACACATGCCCGCACGTACAGGTGCATGCATGCCACAGGCACACACACGCATGTGCAGACTTACGAAACCCACGTCCCACACGTGCACGTGCACATGCACATGCACATGCAAACGCACAGAAATCCGAGCCCCTGACTGACTCTATAGACCTAATCCTTTGATGTTGGTGACGGGAAGCGTTGGTCTCCACCGTAATGCCCCTCTCTTGAGGGGCGCCTCGAAAGGCCGCCCTCCCCCCCAAAACGGCGCCCAGAGCAAGATGCCTAAAGAAAGGCACCTAAAAAGCCCCCCTCAAGAGCACCTGGTATCAGAGCCTCGGAGGCTGTTGAAGCGATACAGCCCTGCAACAGCCCCTTCTCCTCCCCCGCACGGCCCCTGCTGCTCCCCGCCTGTGCGGGCAGACAAGGACGCCTCAAGAGCCCCACCCACCTGGTATCAGAGCCTCGGAGGCTGTTGAAGCGATACAGCCCTGCAACAGCCCCTTCTCCTCCCCCACGCGGCCCCTGCTCCCCGCCAGAGGAGGAGGGCAGCAGCAGCGCATCCGCATTCAGCTCTCCCTCCATTCCTTCTACATATAGGAATGGTTGGCTCCAGGAGCGGGAGGACGATGGCAGTGCTGTGAGCTGCTCTGTGAAGTAGCGCCGCTTGATGAGCTGGGAGAAGGAGAAGGGGGGAGGAGAGGGGGGGAAGGGGAGGCGGGGGAGGGGAGGGGCTTTCGTGGGATTAACGTGGGGTGATTTCTGAGCCTGACTCTGACTCTGACTCTGACTGTGACTGTGACTGTGACTCCAAGAGGGCGATGGCAGCGCTGTGAGCTGTGACGACTTTTGAGGCGCCTCAAAAGTCGTGGGATTAACGTGGGGTGATTTCTGAGCCTGACTCTGACTCTGACTGTGACTGTGACTCCAAGAGGGCGATGGCAGTGCTGTGAGCTGTGCTGTGAGCTGCTCTGTAAAGTAGCGCCACCTGATGAGCTGGAGAAGGTAAAGGGGAAGAGGGGGAGGGAAGAAAGGGGCTCAGGCTATTGTGGGTGTGACGCAGGGGGAAGGGAAGGACACGGAAGCGGGGCTATGGGAATGCTCACGACTGCTGGTCTGACTTTTGAGAATTCTCATGACTAAGGAAGCCGCCACAGCTGCTGGTCTGCTGCGTTGGAGACTCGTTGGCTCACCTGCAGGAAGAAGGCGTCCACTGCTGGCAGGTCCAAGCGGCCCTGCTTCGCACACTGTGGCCGAGCACGCATGGGAGGCAGAGGGGAGGACACACAGCAGGAATGGGAAAGCTTATTCCGGCCACAGACAGTTCTCTTTTCCGCCCCTGCATTCCTGCCATGCCTGCTGCCCTTCGCCCATGCTTTTATCCACACACGAGCAACAGTGAGTCTGCTTTTGAGTCGACTCAAAAGCTTTCCTGCCATGCCTGCTGCCCTTCACCCATGCTTTTATCCGCACACGAGCAACAGTGAAGCAGAAGCGGTGACTCAAACCCTCTCCCCTCCCCTCCACTCTCCTCTCCACTTTCCTCCACTCCACTCCTTTCCCCTCCCCTCCCTTCCCTCCAACTCTCTCCCGTCCCCTTCTCTCCACTCAGCACATTGCACCCTGCACCGCTAGGGTTGACCACTGAAGGGTGACTTACACATGGTACATGAACACCACCTATACTCCAGCACCTGCATCCTCTCTCTTCTTCCCACTCCACTCAAAACCCCACTCACTCACCGCAATGAGCCCCACACCCCTGGGGTTCCAAATATGTTCTGGCAGCCACCCCCCCTTTCCTTCTTCCCATTCTTTTGTGGAATCAAAGCACCTTTCCGGTCATGACTAAAAAATCTTCCCACTCACCGCAATGAGCCCCGCCCCTGGGGTTGCGAATATTCTCCGGCAGCTCTCCCCTCTCTCTCCCCCCAAACGATCTCAACCCATACCGCTCCACAACAGCGCGCGAATGCTCTAACACCCTGCTGCCTGCCACCCAAAACTCATCTCAGAACGATCGTGGCACCGCAACGATCGTGGCACCGCAACGATCTTGGCATGCTCCCCCCAAACGATATTCATCGCATACTCCAACGTCCTGCTGCTCCTGGCTTCTTCTGCCCAGTTGACTCAAAACCTAACTCACCACAATGAGCGTGGCGCGGCGCTGCTGGGATTCCCTGTATACGCAACTGCCCCTGCTTCTTCCCGCTCGTAAGTCAAGTCAAACACCTTCCCAGTTGCCTCAACCCCCCATCCCACTCACCGCAATGAGCCCGGCGCCCCTCGGATTCCGAATATACTCCGGCAGCTCCCCCCGCTTCCTCCTTCCGAACGATCTCAGCCCATACCGCTCCACAACAGTCTTGGCATGCCTCATCGCATACTCCAGCGTCCGGCTGCTTCTGGCGTCTTCTGCCCAGTTGACTCGAAACCTCAATCACTCACCGTCACCGCAACGAGCCCGGCTCCATCATCTCCCTCCCAACTTTGTGTCGACCCCAAACCTCCTCCCAGTCCAGACTGAAAAATCTTCCCACCCACCCCCACTCACTCACCGCAATGAGCCCGGCGCCCCTCGGATTCCGAATATACTCCGGCAGCTCCCCCCGCTTCCTCCTTCCAAACGATCTCAGCCCGTACCGCTCCACAACGGTCTTGGCATGCTTCATCGCATACTCCAACGTCCGGCTGCTCCTCGCCTCTTCTGCCCAGTCCTCTCAAAAGCCCTCCCACTCACCACAATGAGCCCCGCGCCCCTGGGGTTGACGGCGGCACCACCCCTCCCCCCTCCCACTCACCGCAATGAGCCCGGCGCCCCTGGGGTTCCGGATATACTCCGGCAGCTCGCCCCGCTTCCGCCTTCCAAACGACCTCAGCCCGTACCGCTCCACAACGGTCTTGGCATGCTTCATCGCATACTCCAACGTCCTGCTGCTCCTAGCAGCGCGCAGCAGCTTCACCCTCCCCTGCAGCACGGGGTCCTTGTCTCGGAGGTCGTCCTTGTTGCCAATCACGAGGAGGGGGACGGGCAGTTGGCCCTCGCGGTGCCCGTGGGAGGGAGCGGAGAAGGTGCCGCTGCGCACGAGCTCGTCCATCCACTGCAGTGCCGCCACGCGGGATTTTTTTCGGGACAAGTCGTGCACGAAAATGACACCTGAGAGGGGGTGGAGGGCGGGGGGGAAGGGGAGGCGGTGGAGGGGGGGGAGAGGGGGGGAAGGAGGGGGGTGGGAGGGGCAGACAGTGGGGCATGAGGAGCACAGTAGCAGCGCGCAGCAGCTTCACCCGGCCCTGTAGTTGCAGCACGGGGTCCTTGTCACGGAGGTCGTCCTTTTTGCCGATCACGAGGAGGGGGACGGGCAGTTGGCCCTCGCGGTGCCCGTGGGAGGGAGCGGAGAAGGTGCCGCTGCGCACGCGCTCGTCCATCCATTGGAGTGCCGCCACGCGGGACTTTTTTCGGGAGAGATCATGCACGAAAATGACGCCTGGGAGGGGTGGGAGTGGGGGAAAGGAGCATGGTGGTTTATGGGACGGCGCGGAGAGAGTGCCGCTACGGCGGACCAGCTCGTCCATCCACTGCAGTGCCGCGACTCTTGACTTCTTACGGGATAGGTCGTGCACGAATATGACGCCTGGGAGGGGGTGGAAAGCGGGGGGGAGGGGAGGCGGTGGAGGGGGGGGAGAGGGGTGGAAGGAGGGGGACGGGAGGGGCAGACGGTGGGGCATGAGGAGCACAATGAAGCGTGCAGCAGCTTGACTCGGCCCTGTATTTGCATTGCATGCAGCACAGGCTCCTTGTGGTGGCGGATGTCGTGTGCCGTTGATCTTGTTGTAGACGAGCGAGCGTGATGGCTTGTACTGCTCGCTTTTTGAGTCGGCTCAAACGTCGATCTGTACTGCATTTGAGGCGTTTTTTGCGGTGCGCCTCATGAGTAGACCACTCTACTGCATGTACCGTTGATCTGATCGTAGAAGAGTGAGCGCGACGACTTGTACTGCTCGCTGCCCGACACGTCCCACACCTCCACAAAGAACCCCCGCCGCCCCTCCTCGCCACCCCCGCCACCACCACTGCCCACTGCTGCCACCCCACTGCTGACGCTGTTGCTGCTTGGGTCTGTGCGCAGGTGGGATGTGGAGTCCCCTGGCACTGGCTCTGCCTGGGGGCTGTACTCCATGTACTGTTCATGCCATGCCATGGTGCCATGCCATGTCATGCCATGCCATGCCATAAATAGGCCATGCCATGTCCCACCCACATACACATGCGCCACACAGGAGGGCATTTCAGCATAGAGCGCATTGGAGGCATGCGAGCAACACGATGTGAGCATCGAATGGGAAAAGAGAGACACTCAAGCCAGCCAGCTCCAAGATTCATCCCACCCACGACAAGGTATATCAGGACACAGTGGATATAGCGAGTCATCCATGATTCATCGCACCCACGACAAGGTATATCAGGACACAGTGGATATAGCGAGTCATCCATGATTCATCGCACCCACGACAAGGTATATCAGGACACAGTGGATATAGCGAGTCATCCATGATTCATCCCACCCACGACAAGGTATATCAGGACACAGTGGATATAGCGAGTCATCCATGATTCATCGCACCCACTGTAACGCCCTTCACTGCCGCTAGCCGTCTCTCACCTTCACGCCCTTCACTCTCCGCCGTCTCACCTTGACGCCCACAGTGCAGCCAACTGTACGGGGGGGCTGGGCTGTAGGGTGGCCGTTGAGAATGAGGTGCACCAGGGAAGACTTTCCCACCCCTGTGCCGCACAGCACAATGGGTGCGGCATGGGTGAGGGACGGAAAGAGCATGTGATTTGAATGCACGAGAACATAACATGACTAGACGCAGCCGTTGAGAATGAGGTGCACCAGGGACGTTTTGCCCACGCCTGTGCCGCACAGCACAATGGGAGAGACAGCACCAGTACCACAGAGCGGAAGGAGAAAGGGGGGGAGGCGAGAGGGGGAGAGAGGGGGGTTGGGAGGAGAAGAGGAGGGGTTGCACCGTGCACGTGTACCTGAGTGGACGCATGGCGAGATGACATGCGTCCATGGAGTCATGTTATATAAATGACAGGGAGTTACCAGATATGGCGAGCCTAGCTCAGCACAGCAACAAGCCCAGATGTAGCGCACTATCTGTGCGATCTGTCTGTGCTATGATACCTGCTATGCATGATAGATAACAGTGCTATGATAGCACTATCTGTACCAACTGTACTACCGTCTGCACGCTTCGTATCATCTGATATGTAATTATAAAATCTGCAACATTCTGCTCTCTGTACCATCTGGAACCGACACCCACGCTCACACACACACACACACACACCCAGCCATCCACCCATCCACCTCCCCTTCCCCTCCCTCCCTCCTCCCACACACCCACGTACCAGAATCCCCAACCACCATCACACGAACTTGCCCTGCTGGCACACTCCCGCCTCCTCCCCCTCCCCCTCCCCCTCCTCCGCCCCCGCCCGCCCCTCTGCCCGCCCATCCTCCCCCCCCGGGACCGCCATCTTGCCACTGGCTCATCAACTCCACCGCTCTGCACCGCGCTGCACACCGTCCCCTGGACTAACAGATTCGTCAGCTCACGATATCCGGAAGGCAAGCGGACGGGAAAAGAGGAGGAGGGATGCAGCAAGGGGCTGTGGTCTGGCCGGATGCGGCAGTGAGAGGGAGAGGTGGGCTCATCTGCCTTGGGTGGATGTGAGGAACAGATGAAGTGGGCAACCGCTAGAGTAAGTCGTTCTGTTACGTCCTTCTGGCGGTTGGAGGCATCTACTACACAGTGGGGTCCGCAGGATGCGAGGGGATGCGAGGCGACGGAGCCAACGGATCGAGTGGATTCGACGGAGTGATATTTTTTCAGTCGGGAATCACGAGAGGCGGGAACGGGAGAGGACACGAAACGGCTGCGTTCGACGATCACTGTGGACTCCTTTCACTACGTGAACGAGGTCAGTACGGGAACGAGCCGGCAGCATTCGCCTACACAACGCGGCGGACGCAATAGAGCTTTCCAGACGGCGACAACTTGAAGAGGCCGAGGTTCCCGCCTGGCGCGCGATCATCCACGGGAGAATCCCGGAAGGCGATTCCGGCTCGACGCGATTCAGAGATGTGGTTGGATCCAGAGGGAAGGCTACGTATGCGATTCAGCGGCGAGAATTCAGCGGTTTCAGCAGTGCAGCGGCGGAGGTGGAGTGGACGCGTGGGGAACGTGCGGCAAAGGCGCGAAAATGGACGATGTGGGTTCTCTATCGATGTGTCTGCTGCTGCTGCGGTTATTGCTGTTGCTGCTGCTGCTGCTGCGCGAGTTATACCGCTTGACCGTCGTTCGTACGGCGCAGCGACACGCAGCGAGATCGCAACGGCGACCTAGATTCTAGATTGCTTCTGAGCACGAAGATCACCACTGCAAGCACCTCGCTTGTACATCCCGTTTACGGCTACAACACACTATACCCACCTGCTGCTGCTGCTGCTGCTGGTTCAGTGTGTGGGAGTGCTGGAAACTACCACTGAAAAACATGAATCTCTATATGTATCGACATGTATCAACATGCACATAATGTACATGCGTCTGCGACTCATGAGTGAGACGAGTCACCTCTTGGACGATGATATGCGAGTACAAAGCAGGGCAGTCGCAGGCATGGCAGGTGGTGTCAGATTCTCGGTGGAATGTGTGGTCATGGTTCGTTCGAATTTCGGAGCTTCAAAACAGCCCACATAAGAAACTCCTTTCGGTGCAGTTAGGTTACTGGCTTTAAAATGTACACCCAAGTTGAATTCATCTTAGCTTGTGAGTGAGCATGTGTGCAAGCATGAAGTCAAAAGATGTAGAGTAGGTAGTGCATCTCTGCAAGTCCTATTGAAGAAACGCCTGATACGGTACTCCCTGTACTGGTCATATCATGGTATCATGGCCCATTGGCTCCTCCCAAGTCTCCAAGCACAAATCCTGCTCGTCGAATCACGTCACCTCCGCAAGCTTCTGCCTCTGCTGCTGCTGCATCGACCACACGCACAAGAGGCTGCCACTCCGAAGGTACAACTAAGGGGCAGCATGCACATCTCTCAACCCGCTGCAGCGACGTGAGATTCTCCCAATGCTCCTCCTCCTGCACATAAGCTTCGAGAAGGCGTTGCAACTGGCGAGGCTCTTTGGCTTGCTCTGACGCGCAGCAAAACAGTCTATGTCGGTGGATGTGGGTGAGCGAGAGGTGCTGCAAGGACGTGAGATGGCGCATCCAGGGAGGGAAGCGAGGGCCAACCTCGCAGTCAGCAAGGGACAGCCGTTGCGAGCAAGGCAGGAAATGCTTGCTCTGGCTGCTCACCAAGGCACTGGTCCTGTTCACCAACGGCAGCTGTCCCCCACCCTCCCAACACTTGACATCAGACCCGTCATTCCCCTCCTCTTCCTCTGCATCCCTCCTCCCACCTTCCCCGGTAACCTTCACCAGCTCCTCCAAAACCCTAATCTCGCTGATACTGAATTTCGCGAGGTTCACCGCAGTCACCTCTAGTCTCTCCAGCTCATGCAACCTTAACACGTCGCTGCCAAAGTCATCTGTGTGAAGCTCTTTCACCCGTGGGGGCAGCCCAAAGCTTGACCTCATTTGCCCCAGATGCGCGATCAAGGTCTTGTTCTCCCACCTCCGATGCACCACCAGTCGACGCACCGAGTGCAGCTGCGGCAGGAAACCCCTCGGGACGGTGAGGTTGCGGTTTATCACGAGGGCGAGATCGCGCAGCAAGGGGAGCTCGGGCAGGCAATCAGGGAGTGAGTTGAGCTCATGGCAGCGGGTGATGACCAAACGGTGCAGGGAGGAGAGGTAGGATAAGGAGGGCGGTAGCTCGTGCAGCAGAGGAAGGTCCTGCAGCCATAGCTCCCTCAGGCTTGGGAAGTTGAAGGCCAAGGGGGTGCATGCAGAGGCGTTTACAGCAAGGAGAGGACAGTTCTGGATCGAAAGGATGGAGAGGCGAGAGGAGGGGGAGGAGGAGGGGTTGAGGAGCGAGGAAGGGCTTGTGAGTGCTGTGAGATTTGGGAGGTTGCGAATCTCCACGTGGGACAAGCTGCGCGAAGGGAAGCACGGCACTGTATGGAGGTTGGCGCATTGGTCTATAATGAGAGTAAAGAGCGATGGGCAATGGGTATGTAGTGGATGGAAGATGGATGTCAGCCTGGGAAGATTGCGAAGCTCTAAGGTGTGCAGGCTGGGAGGAGGAGTGAGGAGCGAAGAGAAGCGCGGGCAGCCCTTGATGGAGAGGATGGTGAGGGACGGGCAGGCGGCGGGCAGCGAAAGGCATTCGTGTCAAAATAGATTTATATCTATTTAGTATAATCTGCCTGTAGTGTAGCTGTTGTGTAATGCCCTTGTATGGTGGTGCACCTCTTTCATCTTTGTTAGGTTGCTATATGTACTCATGTGCTATAGTGAACCCCCATCCATTCTCGACAAATTCTCCTTGGCACAACCATCTCGACACCCGCTTGGCCTAGGCTCCTAAGCCTAGGCCCTTAGTAAAACCCGGTTACTAGTTATGTCAGTGTTGTAACATGGTATCGAGCGGTTCCTTTCCTAAGGACCGAATTTTTATGGGCCCACCGCTAGCCTCTCGCTATGGCGTGCCCCGTTGCGCGGCCCGTAGCGCGCCTCGTGAGCGCTTCCTTGCCGCAGCCCGTCGCCCACGCGCTACCCGCTGCTTCTGCCCGTCGCCGACGCGCTACCCGCAACTGCATCCCGCCGCCCGCGCGATATCCGCTGCTGCAGCCCGTCGCCCGTCCCGTCGCACAGCCGCCCGTCGCCAGATCCCCGCCACCCGTACGCTCTCCGCTGCCTGTCGCCAGGTCCCCGCCCGCCCTCCCGTCGACTTCGCAACTGCTGTGAAGGGAGTGGCGGGAGTGGCGAGAGTGGTGGGAGTGGCGGGAGAAGCTGCTGCTACGCCCTTGCACGCGCCAGATCGTTCGCGACCCGCACCCCGCACCCCGCCCGTCGCCCGTACTCCACCCGCACCCCGCACCCCGCGCGCCGCTCGTGCGCCACCCGCACCACGCACCCCGCCCGTCGCCCGTACGCCATCCGCACCACGCACGACGTCCGTGCCCCCGTCCGCGAGACCCGTCCGCACCCCGTACCTGCACCCAGAACGCCGTTCTGCCCCAGATCCCGCCCCCCCCCACCGACAACTGCCACCCCACCCCCATCTCCGGCTCCGTTTCCAGCGGGAAGGGGAGGAGGTGTGGCCCGAAGGGGACGGCTGGGGGAGGGGGAGTGGCGGGGTTGGAGGCTCATGTAAGGGGGAGGTTGAGGGGGTGGGTGATCCATCTGCAGCTACTGCCGCCACACCTCCCCCTCTCTCTCTCCGCCGCTGCTGGATCAGGGGGTGTGGGTGGGTGAGTCCAGCTGCAGCACCAGCCGCCCCCTCCTCCTCTTTCTCACTCCTGCATCTGCTGCTGTTGGGGGGGAGGTTGAGGGGGTGGGTGATTCAGCTGCAGCACCTACCGCCACTACACCTCCACCTCTCTTTCTCCGTCAATGCTGCTGTGGGGGGAAAGGTTCAGGGGGTGTGGTTGGTGAGAGTTCATATGCAGCATCAGCCGCCTCCTCCTCTCATCCCCTGCCCCGTACCTCCCGTATTGCCCGTACTTCCCCGTGCTTGCCCCGTGCCCGTGCCCGTGCTGTCTGCCCCGTGTTCCCCGTGCTTGCCCCGTGCCCATGCCCGTGCTGCCCCCGTGTTCCCGTGCTGCTCCCGTGCTGTCCCCGTGTTCCCGTGCTGCCCCCGTGTTCCCATGCTGCCCCTGTGCTGCCCCGTTCTGCCTGTGTCGTGCCCGTTTCCGTGCCGTGTTGCCCCGTTCAGCCCTTGTCCTGCCCCGTTCTGCCTGTGCTGCCCTGTTGTCCCCGTGTTGCCCCGTTCTGCCCGTGTTGCCCCGTTCAGCCTGTGTCCTGCCCCGTTCAGCCCGTGTCCTGCCCCGTTCAGCCCCTGTGCTACCCCGTTGTCCCCGTGTTGCCCCGTTCTGCCCGTGTTGCCCCGTTCAGCCCGTGTCCTGCCCCGTTCTGCCCGTGTTGCCCCGTTCTGCCCGTGCTGCCCCGTTCTGCCCGTTTGTGCCCTACCCGTGCTGTCCGTACCCGTTCGTGCCCCACCCGTGCTGTCAGTTCTCGCTCGTGCCCCACCCGATCTGTGCTGCCCGGTCTCATGCTGCCCGTCACCCCCGTGCGGCCCGTCCTGTACAGCACCTAGTTGCTACCCGAACCCGCTACCCGTACCCGTGCTCCTCGCACACCGTGCACCTGCTGCGGGGCGTTCAACCGCAGCCGGGCACCTGTTCCACCACGGTGGTTCAGCTGCTGCTTGGTGGTTGCTGCTTGTCAGCTTCAGGGGGGGCCCCTTGCTGGTGTTCCCACGCCCTGTAATGGGGTTTTACAGGTGTACCCCTTCAAGGCGGGCTCTGCACATGGTTATGCACTTCAAGGCAGATAGGGGGTGTGTCAAAATAGATTTATATCTATTTAGTATAATCTGCCTGTAGTGTAGCTGTTGTGTAATGCCCTTGTATGGTGGTGCACCTCTTTCATCTTTGTTAGGTTGCTATATGTACTCATGTGCTATAGTGAACCCCCATCCATTCTCGACAAATTCTCCTTGGCACAACCATCTCGACACCCGCTTGGCCTAAGCTCCTAAGCCTAGGCCCTTAGTAAAACCCGGTTACTAGTTATGTCAGTGTTGTAACAATTCGGGCAGCTGAGAAAGTTTCGGAAGGTTGCGCAGTACCAAACGATGCAGGCTGGGCATCCGGATGGGGAATTCAATGGAGTCAACGCTGCAAGCAGCAGAAAGGGAGGCGCCTGCGTAGCCGTCCAGCACGAGGTGCTTGAGCGAATGGTGCTGGAGGACGCCACGTGGCAGGTGATGCAGTGCTGACACGTCAGCAAGCTCGAGATGTTGCAGCTTGGAAAAGAAGAGGGGCTGGTGTGGCTGTGCTGCTGCAGTGAGAGCGGCGACACCACCCTGATTACTCTGAAGATTACTCTGACAAACAACCTGTGATGCCTGCTGCTGCTGCTGCTGCTGCTGCTGCTGCTGCCGAGCCTTCTCTTGGCTGTGGTGGAGCTTCTTCCGTTGCCGCCGCTGTCGCCTTCGCCACTGAGGCAGCAGAGGCAGTTGCTGCCCATCGTAGCTTGCCTCCACATCCTCCCCATGACTTGCACCCCCCGACACCTCCGAAGCAACCACGTCCCCCCCATGATCACGTTCGATGTCATCCCTTCGCCCTCCTCTCGCCTCCCATCCTCCCTCTTGAAAGGCACAGCCGCCAACCCATCCCTGGGCGTCCAAGCATCAAGCATCACCAAATAGCATCCTTCCACGCGAATCCGCTGCAGCGACGGCAGCAGCGCAAGCGACGCAGGAAGCTGCCGCAGCGCCAAGCAATCCCTCAAAATCAGCTCCTGCAGACACGTCAGCTGCCCTAGGGATTTTCCAGGGAGACACGTCACCCCCTCCCCTGCGCCGCGGATCTCTAAGCACAGCAGGGAGGGCGCCAATGGGGAGAGCCTCGGGATTGCCGCAACGCCAACGAGCGACAGTGACGTCAGCTGCGGCAGCAGCGTTGCCAGGCGGGCTATCAGCCAATCACTGATGGTCCCCCTGCTGCTGATGCCGGTGCTGCTGATGGTGTTTCTGCTGCTGTAGCGGCTGCTGCTGCGACGGCAGCAGTCCCCGTGTAGCGTGAGGGAGCACAGGTGGGGGAAGGCGGAGAGAGTACGCAGGAGGGCACGGGGGCATAAGAGGAGGCCGGGGGGAACAGTGATGGCGCGGGGGAGAAGCACGGAGAGGCGCAACCAGCGGCGGGAGACGAGCGCGCAGGTGAGCAGCGGGGGGGTGGGGGCGACGGCGGAGTTGTTTGCCTTGCCGCAGGAGCATGTAGGGTCCTTGCATGGCAGCTGCTGCTGTTGCTTATTGCCCCAGCGATCGCGGGTGGTGATGGTCATGGTGTTAGGGCATGACGTTTCTGTTGAACATGGACCGGCGGTGCTATGATCACTTGCATCTGAGCTACTGCTTGCATCGATTGCGGTCGTCGTCGCTCCATCTGCCGCTTCGCAGCTGCTGCTGCTGGTGGTGGTGGTCGAAGAACGGGAGCTGCCGCTGCTACTGCTGGTGCCGCTACTGCTGCCGCTGCTGCTGCCGCTGCCGCTGCCGCTGCTGCTGCCGCTGCCGCTGCCGCTGCTGCTGCCGCTGCCGCTGCCGCAGCCGCTGCTACTGCTACTGCTACTGCTACTGCTACTGCTGCTGCTGATTACGTGGTGGATGATGTTCAGCAAGACGGCATCTGGCAGCCGATCAATGTCGCACGAACACGCGATGCAAGCACCAGCCGTACGATTCGACGCAGTGGCAGGCCGCGTACGATCCGACGGATTGCAACGGATTGTGACGCGAGGCGCCGGCTGTGGTGATATCATTATGCAGCGGCTGCGCGATTTGTCCATGGACTTCATCGGATGAAGCGGATGAAGCGGAATGGCCAAGGCTGGAAGGATCAGTGGACGGATACGCAAGAGAGTGCTAGTTGGAGTGGAAATGCGGGGTTTTCTCAAGCCGGTTTCTAGGTTAAAAAAATCAGTGCATCTATCTACGCGTGATTCGAAACGCACGAGACCGAGGAAAGGGAGGTGTCTGGTGGTCCCTGGGCGCTGCCTATTATGTAGAAATGGTTAAAACAAACCCTTGTTTTTGGATTTATACCAGCCCTGGCGGGCGACCCTAGTACTACTACAAACACCTGGAGGCGCGAAGAGTACGTGTATTTTAGGTGCTGGCAAAGCAGGAGCCACGGAATTCATTTCTTAGTACCCCAAACCACCTTTCGTCATTGACGCCGTTGACCAAATGTTGGTTTTGGCTTGGTTGGTGTGCCGGGGTTTGACGGGAAGTACCAGAGATTTACATTACGGCGCGGAACTGTAGAACGTACAAAATGCTGTTCAGTGTTAAAAAACGAAATTATGCAATGAACCGTTTCTAATCGTTCTGAAAATTGTTAGATAAGTTTCAGGCTTACCTAATTACTATATTTGAATCAACTCGAGAGAAAAGGGATTTGCCGATATGGCAAATGTTGGAATAACCGAAAATATTTTAACAATCTAGCAGCTATGTTAATAGCATGCTCTGACTATTCTCGGCATATGGTAGGCTCTACCGGAGTACCACACGTCGTTCGGTTTGCAATTTTGTCACTGTACACAATGATACTTGCGTGTGTACTAATGTAGGCTAGGTTGAGGTGCACTATAAAGGGTACAGGTTTGCATCCACCCCCTTGTATGTTCTCGTAATCGATTCATTCTCTCATCCACATGGGAAAGAGCTGTCAAGAATAGAACTAGGAATGAATGATTGAACTAGGCAGGAGATGAGTACAAGTAGGGGAAACCTAACCCTAAAGTGTTGTACTCACTAATGAGTGACCCTACTGTAGCCTAGAGATACAATTGTAATTTGACACACCCCCATAGGCAAAGTAGGGGATAGCAAACATAACAAGCGGTCACAAGACCAGTCTGCAGAAGAGAACACAGCTCAGGGTGGATCACAAGGTCACCACGCATTCTGAGCACAAGCAAGTGGCCACAAGGCCAGTTCACATGCAGAGGTATATAATAGCAAGGCAGTACACTGATCACAACCTAGCAAGAGAAAACATGCAGGTATAAAGATATATAGCAGTGTACAACAAGAGCAAGTTAAGCAACCAACAGGTGAGGCAGAATGGGCACAAGCCCAAGAGCAGTGCAGAAATGGTGATCATCACCAGACCCAAGGGCCTTGGTGAAGACATCAGCAGTGTTGGCCCGAGAGGCCACGTAAGCAAGGCGCAGCTGACCACGCTGCTGCAGCTCACGCGCAAGGAAGTAGCGAAGAGCAATGTGCTTCGTTCTGTGCTCCAGTCTCTACTCGCGACACAAGGCAAGCATTGCCTTGCTGTCGACATACAGAACTGGAGGAGAACGAGGCCGCTCCCCCAAGTCGGTCAGCAGGTAGGTCAGCCAGCGTAGCTCCTGTGCAGCCATGGCCCCAGCGTAGATCTCGGCCTCGCAGCTGGAGCCAAGCACAGAAAAAGAACGAGTGGACCTCCACGAGACAGAACCAGATCAAAGACTGAATGTGTAACCCTGTGACGAACGCTGAGTCGCCTGGTCGTCGGCCCAAGAAGCGTCAGAGTGTCATGTGAGTACCACTGAACCCCGTCCTCCAAGCACGAGCCCCATGCCCGATGTACTGCACAAGTAACGCAGTACCCTCTTCGCAACATCAAAGTGTACCTTTCGGTGTCTACCGGGTGCCACGTAGCGAGCCAGGAGGCTGAGAGGGTACGCGAGGTCAGGTCGTGTGCACGTCATCAGGTACATGAGGCAACCCACAAGCTCTGGGTACTGACCACTCAGCTCTACGGACTCGTCCGAAGGTGGAGCTGAGAGCGAGTGGCCGGTAGACAGAGGAGTGGGCTGTGGCGAGGAACACGTGAAGCCGAAGCGCTGAAGGACCTACTGCACCATGTGTGACTGATTCAGGGTGATGGTGCGCCGTGCTCTGTCCCGGGTGATCTGCAAGCCAAGATAGCTCCGCAGCTCACCCAGGTCAGTCAGGTGTGTCTCTCCTGCAGCTCCGCCTTCACTAGGGCCAGTGCCTCAGTGTCAGCAGTAGCAAAAACCAAGTCGTCGACGTACACAAGGATGTAGAACGGCGGCAGAGTAGTGTCGGTGCGAAGAAACAGCAACGGGTCAGCAGTCGAAGGAGCAAACCCAAGAGCCGCAAGTGTCGTCCTCAGTGTGTCGTGCCACTCGAGGGGCGCCTGACGCAGGCCGTACACTGGTCGCCGTAGGCTCCACTGGGTACCCTTAGGAAACGACCCAGTGAAGCCCTGTGGACGGCGCAACCAGATGGCCTCGTGAAGGCTACCCTGCAAGAAAGCTGTCGAGAAGTCGAGGGAGTGCAGCTCGTAGTCACGCTGAGCTGCAACGTGTAGCAACACCCGAAGAGTGGTCATCTTCGGGGTGGGGAGAAGGTCTGAAAGAAGTTGACCCTAACACGCTGATTGAAGCCTCGAGCAATGTAACGTGCCTTGAAGGCAGGCGGAGAACCCGGCGGCCGCTTCACCATGAAAATCCACATGCCACTGACGATGTTCGCCCCAGGTGGGGGAACCTCGTCGACGTAGGTGCCTGTGGACTTCCAGGAAGCCATCTCTGCGTCCATGGCTGTCTGCCACTGAGAGGAGTACTCACCCGAAATCGCCCCCCTGTAGGAGCGCGGGGTGGGGATGTCAAGTGCATCCGGGTCTCCCTCAGGGGCAAGCAGCATGGTCGCGTGATGGGGTGCAGCGGCCGCAAGGCACTCCAGCTCCTCCTGTCTGTCCTCAAGAACGTCACAGCCAAGGGCAGTACAGCCAAGGGTAGTCTCACCCTCGACGGACGGAGGACAGGCAGGGACAGGGTTAGAGACAAGACTCGCAAGGTAGTCGAGGCGGTACACAGCAGCAAAGTCAACGAGCTCAGCTACTAAGGCAGACGCAGCAGGAGGCGAGAACGTAGGGTCCGTCACAACCGTAGCAAGACGGCGAGTAACAGTCGGACTGGACGCACGAGCAAGGTCAGATGGAGGGTCAGCAACGTCAGGCAGAGAGGACGCAGGAGGTAATGGTAGGACAACACGCTGAGGAACAGAGGAAGGACGGAGTGTCATATCGTGAGTGCCGGGGACAACCGGAGCACGCGGACGACGAACACGAGGAACACGAGCACGGACAGCAGCTCTAGGCTCAGGCTCAAGGTCAAAGCTAGACTCAGGCTCTCGACGCTCAGGGGTGGAAGCACGAGTCTCAGGCTCTCGACGCTCAGTCAGGGACTGTGTCACCGCAGTGTAAGGAGCAGGAGCAGGGAGTGGGGAGTGCAGTAGCACCGGCGGCTGTGACTGGTCCGCCGGTGGACACAGCAACGGAGGAGTAGTACCTGCCACAGGGAAGCCAGTAGCACCTGACTGAAGACTGAGAAGGTGGCGAAGAGCACCAGTAGCTCCACCAGGACCTCCAGCACCTCCAGCACCTCCACCACCTCTAGCACCTCCAGCCTCAGCAGCTCCAGCACCAGTAGCACCTCCAGGACCTCCAGTACCAGCAGCTCCAGTACCTCCAGCGCCTCCAGCACCTCCAGCTCCAGCACCTCTAGCACCTCCAGTACCAGCAGCTCCAGTACCTCTAGCACCTCCAGCAACTCCAGCTCCAGCACCTCTAGCACCTCCAGTACCTCCAGTACCAGCAGCTCCAGTACCTCTAGCGCCTCCAGCAACTCCAGCTACAGCACCTCTAGCACCTCTAGTACCTCCAGTACCAGCAGCTCCTGTACCTCTAGCGCCTCCAGCAACTCCAGCTCCTGCACCTCTAGCACCTCCAGTACCTCCAGTACCAGCAGCGCCACGACCTCCAGCACCAGCAGCACCTCCAGTACCTCCAGCACCAGTAGCTCCAGGTCCTCTAGTAGGACCACCGACGACACCAACACCAGAAGGACGCGCAGCACCCCCAGAGTCAGCACCCGAAGTCGCAGCACCCCCAGAGTCAGGACCCTCGGTCTCTGCACTCTCAGTCCCAGCACCCTCAGGCTCAGTGCCCTCAGACCTGGTACCCTCAGTCCTGGTACCCTCAGTCACAGCACCCTCAGGCTCAGTACCCTCAGTCCCAGCACCCTCAGGCTCAGTACCCTCAGTCCCAGCACCCTCAGGCTCAGTACCCTCAGTCCCTGCACCCTCAGTCTCTGCTCCAGTGTCCACAGCAGCAGGCTGCAGAGGCGGCGAAGACGGCAGAGGTGGGAACCCGGGGGGGGTAGCCAGACGAGGAGAGCGGGCACCCCCAGACTCACAACCCCCAGGCCCAGCTCCAGTAGTCAAAGCTCCAGAGTCCTCAGCAGCAGGCTGTGGAGGCGGCGAAGAC